CATGTACTGTTGGACACACTTCTGATATTTTGTCATGAATACTCTTAGCATTATCCGCCAATCGATTGTCAGTGAACTCTGACAAAAGCTTGTCACCTCGATTCATAACATGATGATATAATATCTTCCTTAGATCAATCTGCAGCAATACCAAATCTACCAAATCAGATATAGGTGGGTGCAGGTACTGCAAAGGACCTACTATTCATACAAGTTGATGATGTACATCAATCGCTCACTCAAGATGTTGTAGCAACTCTACCAGCATTCCATGCGGTCATGGTTGTGACACAACAAGCCAGTTCAGTTGTAATGGCAAGAAGTCGACCTGGAACATATTTATCGCACAATCAGATTTGTTCTAACCAACAGAAGAAACTGGTGCCTTCAACATGAAAAAGACAGAAACATTTGTTGTCAAAGTGTACAATCCAGCATCGACTGCAACTAGCATTAATACGCTTACAGCTGACATGTTCCACAGAGTTGGAGACCTAGAGGAATTCCCACCACACAACCTCTACTCAGATGTCAGCACCAGTGCATCACGTGGTGTTCTGCACACAAAGGAAAGGCTGACATTCCACCATCAGAAGAGTATAGGTGGTCATCTACTGAGGATGTCATAGAAACCATCCCAATGAGCCAGAAACGAATGCCAGCACTGTGTCTAGAATTGCTCACATGTAAATGCACAACAGGCAGATGCTCCTCATCCAGGTGTTGCTGCGCCAAGAACATCATGGGATGTTCCCTTGGATGCAGTTGTGCTATGTCATGCCTAAACAGAAACAACTTACCTACCTTTCCAGAAGAGATGGACTCTGACGGTGACTAGAGGTGACATTATTTCACAGCCCTTGACTCTGTGATGTAATCTTTAATACTTCATAATACTACAAGTATTCTCATGTTTTTTTTCACTCAAACGATAAACTAGTGAAATGCTCAGACAAAAGTGCAGTTTATCTACAATTTGTGAGTGAAACGATGCCCATTTTATTAAAATACGACTTTGGAGGTTGGTTGGTGTTGCTAGAGAAATTAGCTTTCGATATATCATTTGTTGTATTATTGGGGGATAAGATTACCACAGAAGTCAGTGAATAAGGTACATCATTAAAAAGATAATGTAAAAAAGCTTCCATATGATATATTACATGACCATGTTGTAGAACTAAAGTGCTGTATATCTGCAATTTTGAGTGAAAATATGTCGATTTCAATATAAATCTAAATTTGGGTATGGGCTGAAGTCACGAGAGAAATTAGCTTTCAATATTTCCTTTTTTCATTGTTGGGGGTCAATTTACCACAGGAGTCAGTGAATAATGTACATCATTGAAAAGACAATGTAAAAAGCTTTCATATGATATATTACATGACCATGTTGAAGAACTATATAAGATCTTGTTTTTAAAAACAGGTCAAAATGGCGGCCATCTTGAAATTCAAGATGGCCACCATAAATGCTCACAGAAAAACTTGAAACATAATTTTTCTTTCTGAGTTTACTATTTTGGTGTGTTTAGGCATTGTTGCAATTATCCCACTCATCCACTACAGCAACATCATCTACCACCATAACTCAATAAGCAATTTTCATCAAAATTGGTTTTTTGGGGGTGGGGTAACATTGTATACAATATCTCAACCCCTATGTAATATATTTTCATTTTGTTTTTTGTATAGGATAGTACAATGGTTAAGGCAGATTTTAATACCCAGTTATAGTGGTTTTATTGTCACAATTCAATGGAATTAGTGTTTTACCTACTCACAAGGTTTGAAAATGAAGTAAAACAACATGATTTTTACCAATGTTTCCACTGATAATTAGAATAACAGTTAAATGAAACAAAATGTTTGCCAAATTCAGATAACCGAACCTATTACCTGTAATCAAAGACTTAATTTGGATAATTTAATGACTTAATGAAAATGTTACAGCCAATTTTGTCAAAGTATGCATTTTTCCTTCAATTTATGCAATTTTGACCCCCTGAAAATTCCTGCACACACTTGCAAGCTTACTACCCAATGAAAATTGTGTACAGATACCTCCTTTATACAATAGAAAAGGTTTAAGGTATACAGGAAAATGTGGGAACGAAAATCTTGTTTTTCACCCCTGGCCAACTGACTATTAAAAAAGCAGTTTTTTTCAAAAGTACCTAAATGTTCAAGGCCTTTTCAAGGCTGCATGAACGTTGTGAAGGTTTCTCTCACACGCTTTCATCGAATTCCTTTTACATGCTGTATTGTTTCACAATGAGGTATCCCGATGTTTTCTTAATTTTTTTCTGGTATTTCTTGTATTTAGTCGGTTCATAAGTTGGATAAAACACTCCTCGTTTTTTGTTTGAAAATGTAAAACCTCATGCTAGGGAAAAGCCCTCGGGATTTTTTTTTTACCTCGCTCGCGGTTTTACATTTTCAAGTCGTGTTTCATCTGTAACATACACAATTAAATACTGACAAAGTGGAATAAATCAATATATTGTAGAAGGGTTCCTGTTTTAAAGGTTTACTGCAAATAAGATACACGATTAGGGAAATATTTATATACTCCGTCCCTCCGTGATTGTAGGTTCGCGCCCCGGTTCGCCCCGATTATGTTTCTAGGATTGTCAGCACCATACCCGTTTCGTGCTGTCACCGAAGTGGTAAACGAATGAGACCTACATCACTTCGGGCTTTCCTCCCACATCACGCTGACACCCCTGATATAACTGGAATACTGTTAAAAGCGGCGTTAAACACAACTCACTAACTCGTGTACATAACTTTCCTTATGCAAGCAACACCACCTGCAGACCGACACGCCTCCTTCTGTACATAATTCTCCTAATGATAGCAACATAACCTGCAGACCGACACGCCCCCATCTGTACCTTACTTTTCTAATGCTAGCAACATCACCTGCAGACCGACACGCCCCTTCTGTACATAACTCTCCTAATGATAGCAACATCACCTGCAGACCGACACGCACACTTTTGTACATTACTCTCCAAATGCTAGCAACATCACCTGCATACCGACACGCCCCCTATTGTAGATAACTCTCCCAATGCTAGCATGATAAACTGCAGACCGACACGCCCCCTTCTGTACCTAACTTTTCTAATGCTAGCAACATCACCTGCAGATCGACACGCTCCCTTCTGTACCTAACTCTCCTAATGCTAGCAACATCACCTGTAGACCGACACGCACACTTCTGTACCTAACTCTCCTAATGCTTGCAACATCCACTGCAGACCGACACGCCCCCTTCTGTACCCAACTCTCCTTATGCTGGCAACATCCACTGCAGACCGACACGCCCCCTTCTGTACATAACTTTTCTAATGCTAGCAACATCACCTGTAGACCGACACGCACACTTCTGTACCTAACTCTCCTAATGATAGCAACATCACCTGCAGACCGACACGCCCCCTTCTGTACCCAACTCTCCTAAAGCTAGCAACATGACCTGCAGACCGAAACGCCCCCATCTGTACCTAACTTTTCTAATGCTAGCAACTTCACCTGCAGACCGACACGCCCCTTTCTGTACCTAACTCTCCTAATGATAGCAGCATCACCTGCAGACCGACACGCCCCCTTCTGTACACAACTCTCCTAATGCTAGCAACATCACCTGCAAACCGACACGCCCCTTCTGTACCTAACTCTCCTTATGATAGCAGCATCACTTGAAGACCGACACACCCCCTTCTGTACCTAACTGTCCTAATGCTAGCAACATCCACTGCAGACCGACACGCCCCCTTCTGTACCTAACTTTTCTAATGCTAGCAACATCACCTGTAGACCGACACGCCCCCTTCTGTACATAACTTTTCTAATGCTAGCAACATCACCTGTAGACCGACACGCACACTTCTGTACCTAACTCTCCTAATGATAGCAGTATCACCTGCAGACCGACACGCCCCCTCCTGTACCCAACTCTCCTAATGCTAGCAACATCCACTGCAGACCGACACGCCCCCTTCTGTACCTAACTTTTCTAATGCTAGCAACATCACCTACAGACCGACACGCCCCCTTCTGTACATAACTCTCCTAATGCTAGCAACATCACCTGCAGACCGACACGCCCTCTTCTGTACACAATTCTCCTAATGATGGCAACATCACCTGCAAACCGACACGCCCCTTTCTGTAGATAACTCTCCTAATGATAGCAGCATCATCTGCAGACCGACACGCCCCCTTCTGTACACAACTCTCCTTATGCTGGCAACATCACCTGCAAACCGACACGCCCCTTTCTGTAGATAACTCTCCTAATGCTAGCAGCATCACCTGCAGACCGACACGCCCCCTTCTGTACATAACTCTCCTAAAGCTAGCAACAGCACCTGCAGACCGACACGCCCCCTTCTGTACCCAACTCTCCTAATGATAGCAACATTCACTGCACACCGACACGCCCCCTTCTGTACATAACTTTTCTAATGCTAGCAACATCACCTGTAGACCGATACGCACACTTCTGTACCTAACTCTCCTAATGATAGCAGCATCCACTGCAGACCGACACGCACACTTCTGTACCCAACTCTCCTAATGCTAGCAACATCCACTGCACACCGACACGCCCCCTTCTGTACCTAACTTTTCCAATGTTAGCAACATCACCTGTAGACCGACACGCACACTTCTGTACATAACTCTCCTAATGATAGCAGCATCACCTGCAGACCGACACGCCCCCTTCTGTACATAACTCTCCTAAAGCTAGCAACAGCACCTGCAGACCGACACGCCCCCTTCTGTACCCAACTCTCCTAATGATAGCAACATTCACTGCACACCGACACGCCCCCTTCTGTACCTAACTTTTCTAATGCTAGCAACATCACCTGTAGACCGATACGCACACTTCTGTACCTAACTTTTCTAATGCTAGCAACATCACCTGTAGACCGACACGCCCCTTTCTGTACCTAACTCTCCTAATGATAGCAGCATCCACTGCAGACCGACACGCCCCCTTCTGTACCCAACTCTCCTAATGCTAGCAACATCCACTGCACACCGACACGCCCCCTTCTGTACCTAACTTTTCTAATGTTAGCAACATCACCTGTAGACCGACACGCACACTTCTGTACATAACTCTCCTAATGATAGCAGCATCACCTGCAGACCGACACGCCCCCTTCTGTACCCAACTCTCCTAATGCTAGCAACATCCACTGCACACCGACACGCCCCCTTCTGTACCTAACTTTTCTAATGTTAGCAACATCACCTGTAGACCGACACGCACACTTCTGTACATAACTCTCCTAATGATAGCAGCATCACCTGCAGACCGACACGCCCCCATCTGTACCCAACTCTCCTAATGCTAGCAACATCCACTGCAGACCGACACGCCCTCTTCTGTACACAATTCTCCTAATTCTAGCAACATCACCTGCAAACCGACACGCCCCTTTCTGTAGATAACTCTCCTAATGATAGCAGCATCACCTGCAGACCGACACGCCCCCTTCTGTACATAACTCTCCTAATGCTAGCAACATCACCTGCAGACCGACACACCCCATTCTGTACATAACTCTCCTAATGCTAGCAACATCACCTGCAGACCGACACGCCCCCTTCTGTACCTAACTCTTCTAATGATGGCAGCATCACCTGTGGACCATTTCGCCCAACTTCTGTACATAACTCTTCATATTCTCGCAGCTATACATAACTCTCCTTACGTTAGAGGTATCCTAGTCAATCACGGTACAATACGAACATCCCTTCTGTTTTATAACGTTCGGGTGGTTTAGACAACCCATTAAAATATTGTTCTTTTGGAAACTTTATCAGGTTAGTTTTGGATGCAAGTGCTAGAATTCCGGTAGCATACACATCATCAATCCATATTGACTTAATGTAAGTTGAAGCTGTGTGTAGATTCCTGATAACTGACAGTGTTGTCATGTAGGCAAATCCTGTACAATATGTAGGGAACGTCAAGAACGGATACTCCTTTTTGGAAATGGCCCACTTTCCTTTTATTTCCTTTTTGCCCCGAGGTACAACGAAGCACATAATATTCCCCTCAGGGACAGGGTTCGACAACAGGTACCTCAACACGTTTGCAACATGAATAACGACATCATCGTCCATTTTGATGACGTACTTTACATTATTGCAGTGAGTGAGAACCCAATGATAGCCCATAATGTGTTTATGGGTCAGATTTTGGTAAGAATCTATGAAGTTCCCTTGCACCATGTCTTGATATTTCTGTGATTCTTTTGCAACTTCTGTCTGTAATGAAGCATTGTTAGTTTGCCCCACTAAGAAAACAACAGTCAATACTGATCCATGTTTAGTGTCACCTACACTGGTGGTGTTCCTGATTTTCTGTCGCTTCTTGACGTTGCACAGGGCAGTATGCACTATCACCACTATGGAGGTCCAGCCCTTACAGTTGTTAGAGTTCATTGAGAATTTGTACTGATGTAAATTATCCCAAACATCAACATCATCGTATGCAATTCTGAGATATCCCAGTACTTGGGAAGTCGCATTGACTCTTTTTGAAGCTCTCTCTTCAGCAATAGCCTTTATACGATGACGAGCAATCGTGGTTGGCAGAGTGGTTGTTTCACTCGAGGTGTTTCCATTCATCGTCGTGCTAACTGTAAGTGTTTCCGACCTGATCTCCAGTGCCTTACCTTCTTCGTTTAATACAGTCCGGGTGGTTTTCGGAGAGCAGTGTCCTCTGATTAGCGCATAGACCATAGCACCTGCTATAGAAAGAGTTAGCATCCATTGCCATGGTCTCCTTTCGAACCTTCCCAGACAGATCAAGCTAACCACCCTGGAACAGATAAAAAAAACACATCTGTGAAGTCGTTCTGTTGTTTAGATGCTCCATTATTTTTTAAGGTACGGACAGTTGTTTCTCAGTTATACATTATCTTAAACCAACATTTCAATAAATCTCACTTGGAATGGACGGACTGTGGGGATGCTAAAAAACAAGGTTACAATTGGCTATACATGCTTCACTCTCACGGGATGTGTCACTTCTATAGAAGAGTGAATGAGTTAATATTTTCCATCGCATCAGCAATATTGAAGCCATATGGCGATGACAATAAGTCATTGATTATTTAATACCTGTTAACAAAGGACAGTACATTAGTAAGAAAATATCACAGTTGAGGTACAAACAAACCAGATCAATAATACAACAAACTATTTAATATGTAGATGGCATCGCCGTCAATAATCTCAGTTGTTGATAACATCACCCTAATCTAAAACAAAATTCAAACCTCCAAAATGTATTAAATAAATTCTATTTCTTGAAAAAACCCACCGAGAATTAAATGATCACTGATGTCATCAAGAAGATACTTTAAGGACGTTGAATGATAATAATTATGCCTTGTGAGAAAGAAATCAACAGTCAAGCAAAACATGCTTGACTATGATTATCTCATCACAAGGGATACATAATGGAGGATCCTCTCCTTTCAATAAATATTCATGGGTATAACGACTGTGGCCAATGCGACATAGTGGCAAAACAACTTCATCATGTCTGAACTGGCAACCCAAGATGGTCTAACCTAGTGTTGGTTTTATTTCATGAAGCTTGTATATACCTACTTTGGTGTTCCTCTTCTTTTGCATTAGATCTTAGATGAAGCATCTAATTATAGGCCTGTAATCACTGAATGGTAAAATAAGTGTTGTCACAGACTTGTTGAATGCTGCCTTTGCCGCAGCATCAGCCATAGTGTTTACCAGCGACTTTCAACAAATCTAGAGCCTTCAGGAATTTAGTCTTAAGATAATTTATATGATGCCGAAAAGTGAAATGCTGATCGAAAATGAGTCCTAGGAACTTAGCCTCCTCTACAACCTTGATTGGAATTTCCATCTAAAAATAGGTCAGGATCTTTATGGCGCTGGTATTTCCTGCATAAACGAATACAATTGGTCTTTGAAAACTTAAATCCATTTTCAAGTGACCATTTTTGAATTTTGATGAGAAATAGCTGTAGGTGTCTCTGGATGGTACGCATATTTTTGCCACAACATGAAATATTTAAATCATCAACAAAAATGGACCAATCAATTGAATCATTTAAGATCCTGGAAAGACCATCAATCCTTATACTAAACTCAGTGACGGACACCCTGATCCTGATTATAATGGTCAGACGGGGTTGAACCCACACGCACCTGAAATTGTCGGTCTGTTACACAATTGGGATATAAATTGTGGCAAGCCGTGAAGAAAATGTATGGTAGGAACTGTACTAACGCAAATCAATGTTGTCGGTCTGTCTTGTACTAATAAGTGTAACTCATTAAAATTGGTCCTCAGACCTCTGCTGTGCCACTGAATTAAAAAAATGGATTAAAAATGTTCATGTTACAGATGGATGAACAGTAGATCTATTGCTCCCATTTTGTGACGATGAGGAGAGACAGCCATGTCCTCCAGAGTTTGAAATCGATTGGATATCTATATAGGTCACGGTGACCCGTTGGTACACGATCTGAATTTTTCGAAAAATCATCTAATTTGCTTGCATTTTTCACAATAGGGGATGTTTTTGGTGCCGGTGTACCAGGCTAAATGTTTCCCTGGCCAGTTCTCTCCTGGGTAAGGTTTGGCCATTAGTTCTTCCCCACACCTGGCTAGATCTTCCCTCCTCCCCCCTCAAATCAGTAAGCTTACCTAAGGTGTGGAAGGTGTAGCCGTGGCCAGATCCCACCCCTCCCATTCCCCTCTGAATTTCAGATACACTGTACATAAGGCCATGCAAATTGGATTTTTAGTTTACGGTGTTCCTGGATGCGAGTATAGGGAGCAAGTGACAGACAAACATATTTTTCATTTCACTAGGTTGGGAGGGAAGATCTATTATGAGGAGCGAGTGAGTGTATTTTTTTAGAAATAAATGTTTAAAAAAATAATAATAATAAAAATAATAAAAAAGAGATAATGAATAATGAATGTAATGACACACAACTAAATTACTATGTCAGGTAGGTAAGTTTCAGCCTCAGTCAGATCTTACCCTAATGCCAAACATTACCTAGGGTAAATCTTCCCATTGATAACGTAATATACACCTGGGCACCTTTGCATAACCTGAACATTTAGATTTCAAATCGAAATGCCAGATATCATATTTGACTAATAATGCAATTTTGATTTAACAATATTCTGAGTATATTAGTCAAAGGGAACATACAGCATGAGTATTCCTCAGTATAACCACCGCATATTTACACTTCAGATACTTGTATTATTATTGGTGTTAAATAATATTTCAATGCAATTGACATGTGTTTGAAGGAAACTCTTTTGATGACAACAGTTGCATCGTCCATAAATCTATTTTGACAAATAGCGACCTGAAATTCAATCAGACGCAAGGAGGAGACTCAGCATAAAGACTGGTGTTGTTAATATGCATTTGATCTGTTGAGAATCTCATGATAACATTACCACAACAGAGGGATTACTAAGCGTCAGTTATCCTTCATCACGCTACAATTACATATATTTAGTAAGTTCTTCCTCTACTTAAGTTAAGTCCTATTTCCATTCTGATGTCAATACATTATCCCCATTAGTCAGCAGTACTGAGAAATTTATGCAAAAAAACCTTTATGAATATCATAGGCACCATAGAAGCTTAACTTTTGTCAATCATCAATCAACATAAACACCCTCATATTCCATAATTATAAAAATAGGACAGAACAAAATTTATTTCGTATAGTCTGGCCATGAGGCTAATAGTACAGATGATTGGATAATATTTCACATATTGTGACAGAGCGCTTCAGTATATATTGGCTTTGGAATTTCTAAGTTTAAACATTCTCTCAATATAAAGAGCTAGCTGAAATCAATTGCTGTCGTCATTTGTTGTGAGTAACAATACAAACTTGTGCATGGTAGGATATTGATAATAATACGAGGGCAAATACCTTAACCTTAAGTTAGTATAACCTGGACATATAAATAGTGCATGGTATTATTCATAATCATTCTTCTTTTACTAAAATTGCATACAGTCACCAGTCATGCTAACTAGACATTCCATATTTATGTATTTTAAAATCATTTGAACAACATCTAAATTTTGTTAAAGATCTTAGATTTACAGTCTTAATCGATGATACTTATTCAGGTTGTAGTAAGGATTTGTAAGTGCAATATAAATCTAGCCTTCGTGAATTAGATATACAATCTGACCATTCTTGCATAAACAAATCTCTTGTTCTTTCCTAAAATGTATAAATAAAAACATCACCGACATATCGAGGTATCTCCGACATCTTGCATCAACCATACATTACCAAAGCCATAACTAAAAAATGAATATCTTACAAATGAAGCCCAATTTTTATAACCTAATTCATCATATTTATAGCATGAAATAGCAATACTTTGGATATTTTACCCAGAGACCCAAAGGCATTCTTAACAGCTTAATTCAATACTTCAGTATTTTCAAAACACCATATTCATACATTCTCGTCCTTCCAAGTTCACCTAATACAGCAGCATTTGAAGATTTGTATCCTATTTTCAAAGTATATTTACAATATTTGGTATGTATAATTTCGATATTTTGTCTTAATTCTGTAAAGCCATATGAGTTTATCATATGAAATACAGCAGTTTTCTTCACCTTTATTTCTGTATGCTTCCAGATACTTTCCAAGTTGTTGCTCTGTCTCTCTGATGTTTCTTGTGTAGTCATCACATAATTATATAAATAGGAACCTTTCACTATTGTAGAACAATATCTAAAATATATTTTGGAAGATGAATATAAAATTTCCAAAAATATGTGAAAAATGGGAAATATTTGAAATATGGTTTTCCTGAAGCAATCCACAAGGGGAGTGACTTGGCCTTGAAAAAAACCTTTTCCCATGTCATTACATGCTTGATGATGTGACCACAGTGGATAAGAACTGGCCTAGGATGAGATAAAACTGGCATAGGCTGGAGCCAAGAGAGAGGAAGAACGAGCTGGTTGAACCTTATTAGTCAAAATAACGATAGACCCACCACAAATTGCAACAGAAATGTTTTTAGTTGATTCATATTTAACAAGCCCTCCTTAACGTCATGTAAAAAATCTAGAAAAGTCTAAATGGGGGAACATTTCCAAATTCAGTCATCTTTACTATAGCGATTACCTAGCATTTTCATAGAAAAAATAATTAAATTTTTGAAATTTATTCAAAGTTAACTATGTTACATAACAAATGAAAGCTACTAATACAGGCTTCATTATGTTATACAGTTCCATATTCTGTTTTGTTTTGGTTTAGAGAAATCAGCAAAAATCTCTTTTCAGCTTTCAATAATAGTAATCTATCTTGTTCCAAACAGCAGACAAACAGACCGGACTATACCTGGGGAAGAACTGGCCAGGAGAATGTTTCAGCCTGTTACACCGATACTGGTTCTACCATTGAAGATGTTGACACACTCGCTGATGGTAATGTATCATCTTTTTGTGAAGAACTTGACTGAACCAAGTTATCCTTGGAAACCTAAATAATGTATGTCTGGCATTGTACGGACATGACTGATTTAAAGGTATGCTTGTGACAGCAGCAGAATAGGACACAGCTGTGGTTGGAGAGGCAATAGCTATGATTAAATGCTCTGTGAAGGTGATGTTTCTTTCATATTTTAATTTTACAGTCTGGTGTTGAAGTTTGGTCAGGACTTCGAGGAAGCCCATGGTCTCCTGAGCAGTTTGCACATTTAGGATTATTAGAACATTTATCCTCAGTATCATGGTCATCTTCTCCACCTTGATG